TTCAACCCTTGTTCTTTTGCCTTGGCTACGTTGTGTATATGTAATAGAGTGTATTAGGTCAACAAAAACATACTGAATCTTTTTGAATCATGGAAATTGAATGTAATTTGTTTGCTATATGATATCTTTCCAAAACCATCCTAATCATGCTATTTTTGCCTCAATTATCCTTGATACGATTTGATCCTGATATGCCAGCTTGATTAGATTATGATTCCTACAAAAATCAGATCAAAAATCAATCTTTTATATTTTTTGCAATTTATTTGATTTAATTTAACTTTTAATAAGTAAAAATCAAAATAAAATAAATAAATAGAGAAAATAATATATGGATGCTGATTTGGGTCGTGGACCATGTCTTCAACAAGATACAATCAGGAAAAGCTAGGCCCATTTGACAAAAAATGCACTTTTGAGCACATTTGACTTTTGGCAATTTTCCAAAAATGGCCAACTTTGACAATGCATATCTCTTCCAATTTTAACCCTAGAGAGGTGTTCTTTGACTTTTTAGAAAGCTTAGGATGTCCCCTAAACAACCCTTTTTGTTTCATCTAAATTGGGTCCTCCATGTTCATGTAATAAGCTTTGAGCCAAAAGGTGTTTTTGTTGACTTTTCAAAAGGACCTATAATGTAGAAATTCATATCTTTTCATGAGTGCATTTTTTTGAACTTGAGGGCTGAAGATGAGTTGTAGGGAATTGAATTCTCTTAAAAATGAGCCTTGGATGTGAAATTTATAATAAAGTATGAGAAAGTTATGTTTGGTCAAAGTTTGGTTGACTTTTCCTGAGAAACTCTAATTTAGCAACTTTTGAGATTTGATGAATTAAGAGCATTTCTTGAGGAATCATGATCAACCTTTGATCAAATTATGAATATCACTTTAAAATGTTGATGTTGATCAAAAATCTTGAAGTTTGACTGCATGTGAGCTACAATTGACTTTTGACCTAATACAGTTGATTTTCAAGCATCTGAGCAGTTGATTGAGCAAACTTCTTGTGCAAGGCATGAAACTTGGCATGGATGATCTTTAGGACATATTATGACTATGGAGAGCATATTAGGCCTTTGGAGCTCACACATCTTGATGAAAATGGAAACCCTAGTTGGAGGTTCATTGCTTTAGGAGAGACTTTGTCTGGTTAACTCTTGGGTATCCTTGAGCAAGTTGAGGGTCTTAATGAGTATATGTTGAGTAAAATTGGAGGGAAAATTTTGGGGTACACCATAGAGCATAAAAAATAGGACAAAAGAAAGTGAAACGAAGGAGAATAAAAATATAATATAAATCTGTTTTAAAAAGTATTTTAAAAGAGGGGTAAAACAGTAATTTTGTCTAAAAAATACCAGACCTGAACCGCTCCGCCCAGGAGACGTCCGCTATCCGCAACCCTGGATAGCGGCGATAGCGTCCATGATATTCTCTCCGCCACCGCACCCATGTGCGCGCGCGACAGGCCTCCGCTCCAGTCTAGAGCGCCGCAATAGCAGCCGGTACGGGCGCTATTAACAACTCTGATTAGGATTACTATTTATATTTTGATACATCACATGTAAAAACTATACATACCTTTTTTTTCGTTATTATCCTGAATGTCTATTTTTTTAATTTATTTACTGCTTATTTTATTCATTAATTCATTTTTGGTTTAATAAAGATAGGTTAATTAGATGTAATACCTTTTCTAAAATATTAATATGTATTCTTATAAAAAAAGGCTTAACTTGTAGATTTTGATTAATTTAAAATTTCATCTCAAATTGTAAAAAAGTAATCTTTTAGAGAAATAATTAGATGAGTATTATTTTAGACGTTAGACTATTAGTTGTGACAATTTTGATCATTTTAAAATTTGTCTTCCACCTTAAAATAAATCTCATAATTCAAACATTTTTTTTAATCAAATTAATTCAAATATTTTATAAATAATAGGATTGGTTTGATTTTACATCCACTATATCCTCTAATAATCGATTGGTTGACTTAACGCCTTACTAATTAATTGTTCAAATTAAAAATATCTAAAAATCACTAATAAATCAAATGAATTTCTTTGTCCCGTGCAATTTAATTCTAATAAGGATTAACTTCTTATAAAAATCAATTTCTTTACCTAGCACGATTTAATTCTGAGGAAGATCAACTCTTCTTTAACAATTTAAATCAAACATTAAGACAACTAACCCATCAAACTATTTTTTCTATTAACATAATAAAAATTCAAGAACATTTTCAAAAAAAGATTAAATAGCATTGCCTTCAAATCAAAACTACGAACTGCGTCTATGATCATTCATTTTTCAAACCCATACAAAGTTCAAGGATAATTTGAAAGCAATTATACGCAATCCTATAAAAAAAACTAACCAAACACTTCGAATTATGAGATAGACTCTGATTTCTTTGCATGAGGATACGTAAACACGCGGTTCAAAAACCAAGGCGAGTCCCCTAACTAAAAAAATTAAATCTTTTCCTTTCATGTGATAATAACATAATTAAAATAGAAAATTCTCATTAAGTCCTAAACCTAAAAAGGGTCCCCTTGAATAAAAGGGAGATAAAGGGTTCCTAACATATTTCCTTTATCTAACCAACTCACAAACCTAGCAATCTCTGAAAATTAGGGTTTTTTCCGTTCCTTTTTCGTCCTTAGGACAAAAAGTAATGGTGGTGACTCTCATATTTTTTGCCGATTACGACAACTGACGACTCTGCTGGAGACACAACCCTTAAGTTAGAGTCTACCCTATCTTTAGGTCTACCCTATATTTTTTGGGGTTTTATCTACTTTTTATTATTTCCATATTTATTTTTATTTATTTGTTTTCTCATTTATTACTTTTATTTATCATATTATTTTCATATATTGTTGGTGGGATTCTGTTATAAATAATAATCAACCTTAGAGGAAGAATTGTCAATTGGCCATGTGAGTTTAACATCCTTATGAGTTTTTGCAACGACTACGCCTAGAGTGGACCGCGTTCTGAGAAATATCTTTTAGAGGGTTAGACTCTCTTGGAGATAGGACTTTGGATTTGACCAATGATTTTGTATAACCCAAAAAATAAAATCTCATGGTGAGGCCTTGTATGACCTATAAGACGATAGTTTTGGTCTACAAATAGGCTCCACTTAAGGGAGACCCTTGTGCTTTTTTTTCTTTTGTGTTATCCATGATACCCTTAAGGAAGCTACCCTTGTGGGAGATTGGGTAGAAAAACTTAAAACTTTTATAGGAGTCCTCTTGTAGGTTGTTATATTAACAGCCTATCCTTCATAAGGGAACCTTCTCGCGAATGACATCTTATCATTATCCTTAAATCCGTAAGGGTTTTCTTTTGTTTATCATAATCTCTAGTCTGTAGGGATTTTCAATTTTTGTCATAATCCCTAATACTTTAGAGCTCCTTTCACTTGAATCACTTCTAACTAAGCTCTATGTCCCCTTTCTTCCTCGCACTTTGCTATGTGATAATCTGAGTGTTGTCCATATCTCCCATAATCTGGTCCTTGAAGCGCACAAAACATATGGAGTTGGATATCCACTTTATAGAGAACACAATGCCTTTAAGAAATTTGTCATCTAACATGTTCCGTCCGCCTTTCAAATTGGGAACACTTTTACAAAACCACTTAGTTCTATGACCTTTAATGATCTACGTGCCAAGCTTGAAAGAAAATCTTTCAAGTATTAGTTTAATAGGTTATTTAGAAGTAGTACATATGTTATTAAAAATTTAGTTAGGCGCTAGTCAGAAGTGGTTATTGTTAGAGTTTATTAAAATTTAATCAAAATCGATGAGAACGAATCATATATTCAACTCAAATAAACTTCCCTTTGAACTTTAACATATTTTTATGCTCAAAAGAATTTTTTTTCAGTTAAGAAATAATTTTTCTATAAAGATTAAACTTTATCCTAGGGCTTGAATATATCCTTTGTTCATAAATCAAGAAATATTTTTCGATATTTTAAAAATTAGATTGATTGGTCGGCCGAACCGAAAACTAGAGGGACACTAATCTGGTCTAATTCTTAAATCAGATCTGCTATTGAACCAGTGAGAATTAGCAAGAATCAATTAAAATCAATAAAAAATAGTGAACTGACGATTTTAGAAAATTGACAGTTTACATATATTTTTTTCTCAGACAAAATATAATTAGACTTTGTTCAAAATTTATTTAAAAGAAATTTTCCTTCTTTACAATTAGATCTTATTCAAAATTTATTTGAATTTGTATTTCGTATTATTTTATTATGTATGATGACTATGTTTAGAATTTAAATTTAAAGAATAAATATGCAAAATTATAGTATTTTAAAATTTAATGTAGTAATATTTTTTAAAGATCGAATAATCTAATTTGACTGATTTAATAAATATATAATTTTATTATAAAAACTATTTATTCAATTGAAATATTCAATTTAATTTAATTTAGTGATATATTACAATCTAATTTAATAGTTCTACCAATAAATGAGTCACCCAACAACATCAAAAGTAAGATTCGTATTTTCGGTTTGATTTCCAACATTATTAGCATTCATGTAGGTTACTTGCTGAAGCAGTTGAATGCATTTTCTCTTTGTTGTGTTCCATGTGTTAAAGATACACAACATCCTTGACCCCACTTGTACCTTCACCTTTATCACCTTTAATAATTGATTGATGAAAAAATGATAAGTAATTTGAAACCGTACAAAGCTTTTAATGAAATAGAAGAAGTAGCACTTGTCAAAAGATAAATGATTCAATGCGACACGTGATAATAACACCAACCTCCAACCATCTAAATTATTGCACTTGACGAGTATGAAAAATATGAATTGTTAACAAAATTTTAAAGCTCTAAATTCTGGCAGGATTTGTGTTGTGTTAGTATAAGGTTTGTGAGTGAGTGAGGATAAGGTTTCTTTTTCCATTGATACATCAACTCTCATAAAATCTTCTTCACCTAGCTACAGCTTCTTTATAAATGGTACATTTTCCCCCCTCTCCATTCCATCTTCAGTTTTCTTTTATCTTTATCTGGTTTTTGTATGTATCAATAAATTTATTACATTCTAGGCATTTAGAAAATAAACATAAATATCAAATAATATTGTACTTGATATTTTGATGTAAATATATTATACTTGTGAAACTAAGTATAATCTTGTTTTGGGTATTTGTGGTGTAGGAGAGAAACAAGATTGTACTCACAAAGCCATTTGCAACAATAGACAAGCAATCATCAGATTCCGATGAGATGAGTTATAAGGTTCCAAATATGTTGCAGCAAGTACTAAATCTCTTTAAGAATGTGCGGTTAGGATCTGATCTCTCACGATTCAAGGTAGGTTTACATTTACCTCCAATTCGATTCAATTTCTATATTTTTAATAATACTCTTTTGGTCTCTTAATAAATTGAACATATTGTTGGAGATTTTGGGAACATTCATGAATTCAAGAGATCTTACCAACTATTTACCAAAAATTTTAAGATTTTAAGAATACGATCCTGAAGATAAACTTAATCACTCACTTTTTGAATCCCACTTGATAATAATAATAATTGGTTTAATAGTTGAATAGAATAAAAGAAATTTTTTTAGCAATAACAAAATATTGAAAAAAAAACACAAATAATCATGTTTCATAGAAAATTACGTAAATAACTATATTCCAGAAAATACTTAAGCAGAGAAGTCAACTCAGATGCCGCATTCTCTTTATTTTTATATGGAGGCGCCAAGTAAAATGACACATAAATACAACGTGTTTGTCTTAAGGCATCTCAGATGACGCCTGAGTACTTTTAACTCATAATTTTTTTTCTTTCTAATTTAAATAAGAGAGAATAATTAAATGATATAGCTTAATGAAAGTTCGATTTTTCAATAACAAATAAACGATTACATAATAAAAAAAATGTTGCATATTATTTAGTTGTCCCCTGAAATTCGGTAACAACCCGTGCTTCCGCATCCGCGTTCTCGTCTAACTCGTGGTGGGCTTCGTCGATTTTCCTGTTGCGGTTGGGTCGATGGCTCAACGAAGTCAATGCGTTCAGGATCTATGAAATTTGTCAGATCACCATATCTAGAAGATCAGCTTTGGTATAGTCGGTTATCCATGCCCTCAAAGTTTGGTCGTCTTGGTGGGGGTGGGGTTTCATGGATGGTCGATAACACTAGTCGTCTGAGTAAGAGGGTAAAAAGAAAATGAATCTTGGGGTGTTTGGTATTGCGATTGTTGGGTGTTAGTGTGATGTGGTGGTTGATGGTAAGTTGGGTCGGTTGGGTCATATTCTTCAGGAAAGCCTAGATCTGGGCTAAGGTGAGATGATGAGGGGCTCACATCGGGATATTCAGAATATTGGAATTGTGTGTGAGACACGTGGCTATATTGATACTGAGATTGGGATTGGAGTTGGGTGTGGGGCATATGGGTGTATTGGTATTGAGGTGATGATTATGGTCGGGTGTGGGGCATATGGGTGTATTGGTATTGAGGTGGTGATTGTGGTTGGGTGTTTGTGGATATATATCGTCGTGGTGTTTGGTGGAAGGTTGATGTGCGTTGGGTTTGTTGTTGGGGATTTGAAGGTTGTGCCCATTGTGTTCGTGGATCAATCAAATACCTCGGATGGAACACATGTATTTCTGAGTTAGTAACCGATTTGTACCAATCAAAATACCGATTTCTGTGTCGCATATTATATTGGTTGAGGAAAACAGGAAATTGTAAAACATGTTAGTAACGCCTATGACACATCTTACACCATTCTGGAGCAAAATCTTTCCAATTAATAAGATCCCATTGGGCGTCGACCCTTTTGAGATGCCAGGGTGACAAACAAGTTAGATCGCATGGTATCTCTTGATGCATTATGAATTGCATCTTGACACGATTGTTGTGGTGTATTTCCATAATGTTGATCCGTATGATTGAAGTCTTTGCAGTCCAAACTGTTGCATCCTCAGTGTTGGGTTTATGGTCTAAACCTAAATATGGTCTCGAGATAAAATGTGGATAAAAATTAATAAAAATAATAAAAACGTAAAAAATAAATAATTTAAAAATAAAAAAGTTCAAAGGTACCACGTACATAATCCGGATCAACGTGATTCAATAGATTACGATATATTGGCGGATATTATGTAATTATGTGCCTTGGTGGATATTTAAGATCTCCTGAAGTGTAAAGATGCATTGACATTTTAGAGATTGTGTCCCAGTTGGTTGAGAAAAGAGGACGCCAATTATATGTTCTTTCATGCAAGTATTAAGGCTACGAGTAAGTTCTTTCAAAGAGGTTTATAATGTGAGTTTAGAGATCATTAATTACTTCTCTTCTTAGTTCTCCGAACCACTTGTTTATTTTTATAAGCCAAAATTCAAAATCAAAATGGAGTATAGGGAGTACTCCAACCCTTATAAAACAGTCTACGATCGATTACAATCAGCTCAAACAAAACAAAGACACCGTAAATCAATCATACCAACTATAAGTATTAGACAAAAGACTTATAAGTATTAGACAAAAGACTTTTAACCAATTTCATGAAATAAATTTAATGGAGAGGACAACTTCCTCTAAATTGAAGACTCTATTTCGAAATAAAGTATGGTTTCTTCTCAACCAAATAATTCAATATGACGTAGTCCAAATCATACCCACCTTCTCCCTATCAAAAGTCACCCGCAACAAATTATACAATTTAGTGAAGGAGACACACTGGTTGATATAGGTTATATCTCAATACCCAACCACAATTCTGTTGAAATATTAAATTAGATTAGATTTGATTTGATTAGATTTAATATTTAATATAATCCAAGTTGTGTTAATCCAAACTTAATTCGGGTTGTATATAAATAGTCATAGTGTGTATCATTATTTGCACACTTGAATAATACAAATCCTCATTTCCTTTATTATTCTCTCTTTCTCTCCTCACTAAAAGTGCCTCACGCACAAACAAATTGGTATCCAGAGCTTTCAGTTATTTTTCTTGATCAAGTTTTCAAGAATTTCACGTCAGAGATCGTTTTTCTAGGTCAAGTAAATCAACCACTGCGAAGATGACTAGTGATAAGGGCATTCTGGATTCTCTTCCAATGCTTGACGGTAAAAATTGGATCCGGTGGAAAAAATAGATACAATCCTTATTTGGCTTTCATGAAACCCTAGAAGTGATTACCGACGGTGTTCCTGCGTTGGCTGCAAATGCAACTGACGAACAGAAAAAAAACCACAATGAAGTCAAGAAGAAAGATTGCAAGACTGCTTATTGCATTTAAACGGCTGTTGATGCTACTAATTTCGACAAAATCTCTCATGCTGAAACAGCGAAGGAGGCATGGGATATTCTGGTAAAGTATTTCGAAGGAGATGAGAAAGTCAAGGTTGTCAAATTACAAGCTTTACATCGACAATATGAGTTGTTGTCGATGGGAGAAGATGAAAAGTTGCAGAATATGTGTTGCAGGTTCAGAAACTTGTCCATCTCATGAAGGGTTGTGGTGAAACCATTACTGATAAGATGATAGTTGAGAAGGTGATGAGAATATTGACCTCTCACTTTGATCATGTTATCGTAGCTATTCAAGAATCCAACAATCTTGAAACCACTAAAGTGGAAGATTTGGTTGGTTCGTTGGAGGCGCATGAGATTAAGATTGTTGGAAAAAAAAAGGAGTTCAGGACTCGATACAGGCACTGCAAGCTCAATCATGAAAAAAAGATGGTGGTTCCAACAAACTCAAAGTCAAGATCGACAAGACTCATGGCAAGAAGTCTTAGTCGAATCCCCATAAGAATAAGATCGAAGATAGATCTTCTTAATCCTTGAAAAGGGGAGAAGAAAACTATCGAAAGGACAAAGAAGATAAGAAAGGTATGCAGTGTTATAAATGTGAAAAGTAGGGACACTTGGCCAGGAATTATTGGTACAGAAAAGACAAGGGATCGAAAGGCAAGAACGAAGGAGAGAACCTTGCACGCCAAGATTCAGATGATTCTAAAGGTGGTATGATGGTTATGGCTGCAGTTGCAAATAACCATGTTGAATCCAATATATGGTTTCTCGACTCAGGATGTTCGAACCACATGACAGGTCGAAAGGAGTGGTTGGCAGATTTTGACGAGTCGAAGAAGAGCAAGGTAAAACATGCTGATAATAGTTCGTTGCAAGCAGAAGGTACTGGAAACATAGTCTTTCAAATGAGTAATGGAGAGAAAGCTATGATCAAATATGTGCTCTATGTACCTGGAATGAAATGCAACTTATTAAGTGTTGGATAACTAGTTGAAAAAGGTTTCCCAATTGTCATGAAAGATGGAGTTTTGAAATTGTTCGACACTAAGAACAATTTGGTTTTAAAATCTCCATTATCGAAGAACAGGACATTTAAGACTATGATCAGTTTGGCAGAAGTTCAATGTTTGAAAATTGTTGTCGAATACAAGGATAGTTGGTTGTGGCATTTGAGGTTTGGACATTTGAATTTTTGATCACTTAATCAACGGATTACTCAAGATATGGTTAATGGTATTCCAAGTCTTGAGATGCCTGAAAAACATTGTGAAGGTTGTTTAGTGGGAAAGAAATCCAGAAATTATTTCGTTTCGACTATGTCAATGAGATCATCCTGCATTCTCGAAGTGGTACATTCAGATGTATGTGGTCCATTTAAAGAACATACAATTGGTGGAAACAAATATTTTGTTTCATTTGTTGATGACTTTAGTCGAAAGTTGTGGATCTATGTGATCAAACGAAAGTACGAAGTATTCGAAATCTTTAAGAGATTCAAGATACTTGTTGAAAACCAGAGTGAGAAGAAGATCAAAGTTCTGCAAACAGATGGAGGTGGCGAATACACATCCAAGATGTTTGAAGATTTATGTGCAGAACATGGTGTTGATCATGAGGTAACTGCTCCTTACACACCTCAACATAATGGAATTTCTGAAAGAAGAAATAGAACCATATTAGATATGGCGAGATGCATGCTGAAGCAATAGAATTTGCCAAAATCTTTATGGGGAGAAGCTGTTCCAACTGCAGTTTATATTTTGAATAGGTGTCCTACTAAGATATTGAAGAACAAGGTTTCTGAAGAAGCGTGGAGTGGCAAACGACCATCAGTAAGTCATTTAAAGATGTTTGGCTCTATGTGTTACAAGCATGTTCCTTATGCAAGGAGAAGGAAGCTTGATGACAACAGTGAACCTGTGATTCTAATAGGATATCATAAAACTAGTGCATACAGACTATTCAATCCAGTTAATGAGAAGATTGTGTTGAGTCGAGATATTGTGATTAATGAAAATTCTGTCTGGGAT